ATGTGGCCTGCTAAAAAAAACTCAATACAAGGTGTGTCTTTGAAAGCAGTTATGAAAATGTAGTAAATTCTCAAAAATATCAAAGCTATGAAAAACTCTCTGTAATATCTTACATGGGATAAAGTCAGATTTGGTTCAGATTAAGTGATGTACTCACGGCAGATTTCTACGCTCTCGTCGGACCCGTCCTCGCAGTCCGGCTCCCCGTCGCAGTGCCATCGCTTCGGGACACATTGGCCGTTGCGACACACGAAGTCCACCTCCACACACGTCTTTCTGACTGGAGGAAGAACATACATGGATATATTATTAGACCGAGATGGGAGACATGTTCTTTAATAACATTTCTCACATCTAACAAATAGAAACACAGAAATAATAGGAAGAGAAGGGGGAAGGATCAAAGCCATACATCCACACCTCATGAATATGAAATTTAGTACACTACCATGAGCCCTTTATCAGGTGAAAAGACACGTTTTAAATGTTTCGCCTTAGTTCTGCAAAGCTCAAATTATTTCATTAACTTTTCTATGGAGATTTGTGCCAATTTTGAAATAAGTGGTTAATTATTTAGCCCATTATCCTGGTTATGTTGGCCTTTTGCTAATCAATGTAACACAAAAAACTAAAGATAACAAGCAAAAAAAAAAGGGTTCAATGCAAATTGAAAGTATTCCTGATGGTCCTTCAGGATGAGAGAAAAAATGAGTCTTTCAAGAGGAGTTGAGGGTCTTCCAAAGTGTCTTAAACCCCTCCAGTTTCTGCACCTCCATGCAAGGCTCGAGTGTCTCCTTGAGGCTTCCCCTCAGTCTCTGACCAGAATACAAATATGAACCCAAGAAACAACCAAGTCCAAATTTGAACCACGACCGCAGCGGGCCTCATTATCAAGCTTGTTTTAGGAATTCATTTTGCATTCTCATCTTGATTCACATCACACGTCTCATATCTGTCCGAGTTGGAAGTCGAAGCAGCTCTGATCTCCCACCGAGTGAGAAACAGACAGACCCTCAAATGAAACACGATGTCAGTGGCTGTGAGAGAGATGAAAAAAAGATTGTGGGCAGAGAACGCCGCCATCTGTTTTAGTTCAAAAATCATCCCTTGTCTTTTCCAGAGGGAAGTCCTGTTTGTTTATATTTAAGGGGGTCTTTTGCTTATTGAAACACATTTCCCAATATTACTCTGCAGTACGATCAGCTGTTCTTTTTCTCTCCCCTTCCCTTGCTTTCTCCCTTTTTCCTCGCTCATTTTCTGCACTTGTTCTTTCCTTCGTCCCAGTGTAATATGACCCAGATAGATGAGGGACAGGGAAAATGGAGAACAATGTGAAATGTATTGGAGAAACACAAATACACACTTCTGTCATATCCATATTTAGCTCTGCTCTATCTGCTACCTTCCCGTCACCAGGTCATTCAGTCCCAAGGGATGCTGGGAAGTCTGGAGGGGCCAAGGGTTTAGATTGTCATGTGACATCTACATGTGAAGAAGTGAGAACATGAGCCTTATGCTCTATGTAGTCTGTGGGCTCTTTATATATAGTCTTAGTATTTTATAGTATTGATACAAGTATGGTATAATAATAATAATAATAATAATAATAATAGAGATGTGTGAAGCAGACTAAAGATCTCATGCAGTGTCTAGCAAGTGATGTACGAGACGTAAAACACTGGAAGCCATACTGAAAAAAACTAACCCCAAGTAAACATGGTCTATTTTAAATTGTGAGTCCTAGGTTTCAATATTGTTCATGTACCACAATGTACAGTAATGCTGCTTACAGTTAATTGCATAGCTAAAACAAGCTGGTGGAAAAGGAAGGGGGCTTGAAGAGGTAAACAGTGTACGCTGTGGTGCTCCATTAACTAGAAAGAAAGAAACTACAGGCTCATCTGGCTTCCTGTGATCTGAACTTTTAAGTCAGACTCCATTTCCAACTTTACATTTTGTTCACTTTGGCAGGAATCATGCTCAAATGTAGTTAAGTTGGATTGTTATCAAGACGGCCACACTCGAAGACCACATTGAAAAGTGTAAATACAATACAACCCCAGCCCACATACGGTACAGGAGTATCGGAAATGGCAACAAAAAGGAGGAGGACGTGGAGAGCTAGTTACGTCAACCGGTAACTGCCAGGGCACAGTCCTGTTCGGCTAGTATTGGTAACAACATTTGCAAATCCTGAGATCGCCAGGGCAGTGAAAAAAAAAATATATGTGTTCATAGTTATGAAGGTTGATTCAGAGGAATAGCATACATCAGGCATTCGACACACACACAACTTGCTAGCAGGATTAATTAATTGCTGGTTTGGGAGTCGTTAGACACTGAGGTTGATTGTTTCTGAATGAAATAATCACTTGCTGTCATTTTTTAAGTGAACACAAAAACATTCCCTTGCAATCATCTGTTGTTTTGTTTGATTTTCTATCATTTCAAGTTTCAAGGCTTTTCTTGTAAAGTGTGCAGAGCCATAGTGTAGTTATGAAAATGAAAATCTTAGGTCACAGGCTCCTCCAACAGCGCAACACAATAACACAGATAAAAATAGCACAAGTAAATAAAATAAAATATAATATAATAGAAACAGAATATGATAGAGACTGTGCAGAATAGTCAATATACAGTAATTGGAATATATATATATATGTATGTGGGTTGCAAACAGATGAATGTTATGTATGTTCTTTCAAAAGTGCAGGTGTTCAACATTCTTATGGCCTGTGGGATTTGTGCATATTTGCGTGCCGAGTGGTTTTAGTGACGTAGTACTTTGTGCTGAAATGCAGCGCGTTTAGATTCTTACCACAGGTGTTCTCGTCACTGCCGTCGGTGCAGTCCTCGTCTCCATCGCACTGCCAGACGGACGGGATGCAGCGACCGTTCCCACACTGAAACTGGCTGGCCTCACATTCTGTCTTAGTACCTGCAGGGGAAGAGACACAGAGGGGGAATTAGGAAAGTGTTTACAGTCCCTAATGCTTTCTTAATCATCATTTACCGTTTGTTTAGATATCATTTGATTAGTTTAAGCTAGAGTCCCTGCGGTGCTGCAATTTAAAAACAATTTGTTTTAAACAGTGCTCGCTCAGAGCAGACGTCAGCCATTACTGTGGAGATAGCTTCATGCTGGACTTTGAGAGTTCTTTTGGACTCTTGACTGACTTTGCAATTGGACAACTGTAACTCTTCTACACCACAACAATAATGAAGGGATTGGAGTGACATGCTCAAGCTCTTTTTGTGAAGTCATGACTCTGATCTAAAGCAGTGTAGTCCTCAGAATACATCCCTGTAAACATGAACATGAGAGAAAACACATCTTTAAATCTAACGCGTTTGAGCACTTGAAACACACTCTTGACATCTGATCTTACATCCCACTGTTTACATTTTAAACTGAATATGAAGTGCCATCAATATTTTATAAATAAGAACTAAACCTTGGTGACCTGAAAATGTCAACTGGGTAACATCTGTTCAGCCGTCGTATGAAGGACATCAGATTTGCAAAAAACTGACGTTGAGAAAAAAAAAGAACCCAGTATGACTTTTCTCCATTATCCAAAACCACGTAATCCGATATGCCTGAATGATTTAATGAAATGAGTCCGACAGTAACTTCCCAGAGTCAGAAGCTTACAAGTGAAGTAAAGAAACTGTCAGATGCATTCAGCACTGTAGATCAAACATATATAGGTCGAGAGGGAATACAAATAAAATGTTGGTCCCGCTGAGAGAAGCCACTCGCATACACACACCGAGAAGAACTGAAACTTCACTCATCATTTAATCAACTGACAGAATCTTAAATCGTTTTAAAATAAGTTATTTTCAAGCAAGCATGAAAAAGTTTGCTCCAGCCTCTCTCGTCTTTACTGCAGTTGTCTTAATGACTTGTAACTATAGTTCGGACAAAACGAGACACTGTTTGTTTGGGCTCTAACAGTTTCAATGGGAAGTTTTTGAACCAATAACTGATAAGATACTAATGTGGGATTAATACATCAACTCTTTAATAGCGTTTCTTACATTGCACTTCAGACTCCCAATTGATTTAGGCATATAACAGGAACTATGGAGTCAAAGACTACACAGCGAGTCAGTTAGACACACTGAAGGGAAATCTGAGTTATAATAACCAGAGGATTGTTTACCACTGGAGTTATAGGCCTTGATTCAAAAGGCTTGAGATCAGTTGTTTTGAAAAGAATGCAAGGAGACTGGATGATGATTACATAAATTAATAAAATCAATGCAGCTAATAGAGAGCTACCTTGTTGTCTCATTAGGGCTAGAAACCATTAGTCTTCATTCATGAAATGTGCATGCCAATCACCTGCAAGCCAGCTTCGGCGCAAGCGTTTTAAAATAAACTCTTATCATCTCCCAATGAGGTGCTATGCTATCACTATCGAGTCATCCATAAAAGCCGGTACCATCTGATGCCATGCTCACAGAGAAGAGCTGCTCTGAAGGACATGTCTCTTATGGGAAGCAGATTGCCTTTAAAACAAATAAACACAAGTAGGAAGACTTTTGAGGTATTGACGACTATAGGGCTTGAAATAAATCTGTGTCACCTTGACGACTGCTTTAATTGTGGCTACGTGTCTTAGCTGGGTTAGTGGAGCACTGTGATGATAGGAGCACATGCAGATGCGTCGCTGAACCATTGCAAGGTCAACTATTCTTCATAAAGTCTCTCTGTAAAAACTTGAATGCTGTTTGCTAAATGAAAGACACTTTTCCGCTCTAAGGGATTGCAGGCATTCACCACAGGATTTGAAAATCTCATCAGAATATAATAAGCCTCCGAAACCTGCGTTTAGTACATAAAACATGACTTTGAAGGAATCTGTTTAACGGTTATCAACTCCTTTTTGGTTGGTGGATACGAGTCCAAAATATACAAAGCAAGGAAGGAGGTCAATATGCAGCCAACAGCCTGCAGACTTCCATTCAACCATGACTACACCAGCTGTACTTGCACCAATGTCCTGTTATAATATAGAGAATCGCTGACCTTTCATCCACAATAACCCCAAAGCATTGGATCACAGCCTATTCAAAACACCGTGAGCAAACAAATAACCACTGACCTACAGAAAGACTTGGTGATTGGAAAACACATTTTAGAGGGAAGGGCAATAAGCATCTCACATGTCAGTTTTGTGTGTGATTAAGTGTCAGCAGCCATAGTTCACTGATCTACCCGGTTATGAAACAAGCACAAATACAGATTGCTCAAACTAGAAGACTTCCTTGGAAAACTAACATATTTCACAAGGTTTCATAAATAAGACAAAAAAACTGAAAATCTGACTAGACCAAGACATTTCCTGGGAAAAGAGGAAACGGAAAAATGAGTCAAAAATAACTTATTTTTCTGCCTGCAGTGGGTTGAATGAAAGATTTCACTGACATTTTAAAAAAGAAATGCCAATGATACATTAGTGAATTTAAGTACAGTTTTGCAAGCTGTTGAGCAGAGTATCCCACTGTTAGAGTTTGCTGCGCCTTGTCCAGCACCTTTTTAGTATTGTACAGAGATTTAGACTTTCCAGACACACTGAGAACAATTTAAACATGGATCTGTGTGACATCATAGTGTGCCTGTATTCTTCAAATGACCGTTAAATCCATAATCAAATCACCCAGTAACATTGCTGGGACCTTCTGCAGTATTGACTTCATTTCACTTTGAAACCACTGACTCCAGTCGTGATGCATAAGCATAATAACCCTGAAACATATTAGAAAAGTCAGAGGTAAACACAACAGTCCTGAGGGAAACGGTCAACAGAAACAGTCCTGACTCATCATCAGCCTGACCTAGTGCTCTCTGCTGCTGACAAACATGTAATGCTGACGGAGGCAGAGCATGAACCATCAGAGCCTCAGGCGCAGTAACTGCTGAGTCCTGTGTTGATCAAAAACAAACCACCAGCTCAACTACATCAGTATCATAACACAGGACCAGCAGGGTTTCAGATGAGACAGTCAGCTTGTAAAAGTTTGGATTTAATCCTGATCAAAATATAAATTAACAAGAAATCTGACCAGGCCTTCAACGCCATCTTTCAATACTTCACTTAGAAAGTATTGCTATATGCGATGATCTCTTTATACATTTCTCAAACATGGAAAGGTTTTCCTTAAACTGCAAACTGATAAAGGTCTAATCGCTGATTCTTCTCTGAAATCCAGCTGTTTTGAAATGGCTTGTCAACAGACAGATGTATAGGATTCTTAGAATATTGACAAACAGTTAAAATGATGTTTTTTAAACTAGTGGAATAAGCAGAGTTTACTGATAATCGCCAAACTAAAAAAAACAAAGGTGTAGATTTAAAATGACTTGAATGTTAGGTTACTGACATTTCCGAAAAAGCCAATGTGTATACAAGATTAAGCTCCTTGAGTACAGATTCAAATCATGGCCACCATTGGTTTTACAAAACGAATCAAGCGGTTGATTGAACATCAACCGCTTGAAAGTCATTAGGCGGTATTATCCATCACATTTAACATTCACTCTGAATAACTGTGCCAAAGTTACATTCATAATGTAGATTGCAAATCACAACCAATTCAAGACTCTCCTGCATTACCAATTAATGTGAATGCAACATCGGCACTTTGAGAGCACCCATCACTTCCGCTAACCAATATCCTCCTTGGGGACACCCTGTACCGAAAATACATCCAGATATAACCTGCACACTTTGCAAAAGGGTTTACTGCAGAGTCAATTCAATATGATAGGTCCCGTGTTAAAATAGGGTGCTACACCACTGTGTTTAGTTTCTGTAAGGTTGTATTCTCTGGGGTTACGATCCTGGTGTCTCTACAGAAGCATTGACTTGCTGTCTGGGAAACTGCACACCCTGCACTTTGATCCAATCAGTACAATAACAGACTTCAATAGGAGCCTGAAGTATATCAACCTGTACAAGAGTATGCTCCCTTTCCCCCGCAGCGTCAGACTCCATTTCAGCTGACATTTAAAGTCTGAACTGTACAACGCTACCACATTACAAAAAGGATTCAACGCTTTCCCCACTTTGTCTTGCAAATGCATGAAAAAACACAACCGCTTCAATCCCCTTGATATTCTGTGTGTGCCTAATCTGTTGTCCTTTTGCATACATCACTGCAAGAATAGTTCATGACGACAAAGAACAAATAACCTTAGATTTGAGAGAGCCAGAAAGAAGCAATATTTCTCCCTTGGCTATACCGTAGAGTAAGTTTCTATTAATGAAGGAAAAAAAGGTTTTTAATACATGTTTGGCTTTTCTCCAGTTGTTCAAACAGCAAACCCTACTCTCAGAAGAAGTGTTGTGATAACACTTTTTACCCCCATTGTGATTTTAATTTTCCCAAAACTGCTTTATATTTCTCATTTTGACCCAAAAGACAATCAAAGAATCTTGAAATAAGATTAATTGTTTCCTGAAAGTAGAACAAAGTACACCACCCAAGTCACTGTGTTGATAACATCTAAATACTTTACACCGGAGGAGGATTGGGTTTGTGACAACCCATTCCATTTATTTTAGAATATAATCAAATATATATACACCGAATAAACATCGGTTAAAAAATGCGAAATAATAAAATAAAATATATATTTATATGAACAAAAAGGTGTATTTTAACTTGAAGAGCCAATTATCTTGATACAGCTATTAACTGAAGGCGAGGGCTTAAAGGCATATTATTTCCCAAGGTGATTATTGTGGGATAACAGACTCAACAGGCGTGGAGCTGCAACGAGCCGTCTACCTCCCAAAATAGTAGATCATTGTGCGCTGTATAAACGCTGTCACACTGGAGGTCATGGTAATGCAATTTTCCCCAGTAACAAAAATGGTTGCAGTCTACTCCCCCTCCTCCCTCTGTCCACCACTCCGCCCACTTCAAGAAACAAGCGCACCCCCACCCCCCTCATAAAGCTGAGGATCTGGGTCTAGCATGGTATCAGTAACTGTGGAGGAAAAATAACATCCATTTTAAATCAGGCCAGTGAAGCAGCTGCTGCTGCCGTGCTGGTCGCTATCTCATAAGCCTTACGTATTGTTCAAATAGGCCCACATTCTCAATCTGTAGGCAAGTGCATGTGTGTCTGCTGCTGAAAATGAGAAATATGTGTTGTGACAACGCTACAGTGAGTGTGTGCACATTACATGCACTAGTTTTGATTCCATTTCTTTCAAAAAGGCCATTTTCCATGTTAGGTATAGAGCTTTGTTGAGACTGAAACCTGTGCCAGATAAAAGCAGCCAAACAAAGCTCTGCATTTATGAGCTGTTTTATAATTTAGCCAATGCGTGCAAATTACTGCTTAAGTGATTAGACACCGCATTAATACAATTACGTCATGTATGCAATGTATTCTATGTACCTCGGGCCAGAAAAAGCCTTTTACAATATCAGCAATTACTTTAGTCCTGACCCAGGACTGTCATACTACATCACATACTTGAAAATGTATGTCCAACAACTCAGATACTGAGTCACTGAACAACCAATTAAATTAGTTACAGTTATAACAAACTCATTAGATTACGCCCATCTTAATAGCAACCCATATGGTGGGAGCAAATGACAAAGGAGTAACAGGTAACACAGTCATGATAATATTTGCCAAATAAACGCCTATTCAATTTACTGTAAAGACAAACCATGTATTTTTCACTAAGCAAAAAGTGTCCAAGTATGTTAATCATTGCTGAAATAACTGGTTCATTTTGCAGTCAAGTCAGGCAATTCAAAATCAACAATTTCTAATAGCTTTAGTTAACTGATAAATAAAATAAAAACATCTGCTCTAGATTATCACACAAAGGTTTCATCATTTAAAAAAGCCTTGGTAACAAATAAAATCTCACATGGTCACAACCCAAGTTTCTTTAAGTTGCTTGCCTTGTTGTTTAGAATACATCCATCTGTTTACATTCTACATGTTTATTTATATTCAACATTACTTTTATTTTATTCCACTGTATTTAAAATGTTACATTGTTATTTATTCTTATTCTACTTTACATGTATATGGTTTACTTATTTATGCATTTAGTTGCTCCATGGTCACTTGCACCATTTCTTTTCTCGTGCACCATTTTTATTTGTTTGATGTCTTAAGCATATGTTGCACTGTTAGAGGAGACTTAAGATTGCCAAAACTATAGCTATTGTGCATACAGTATGCCATAAAGCCTGTGAACTGAATGTTCTTGTTCTACAACCAATGGTCTAAAATCCAAAGACATACAAATAAACGACAAAGAGAAACTCAAACTCCCATTTCCTGAAAACATTTATAAACATCAAAACGTATGGTATGTGCTATCAGTAGTTTCAACTAATGCTGTACAATTTCCACCAGTATGTAATGACAACTTAAGCGTGGCACCTCTGCTCATAATTAGACCCTGATTGAAATCACCTGTGTTCGATAATTGGCCAGTCACTCCTCAGCCTCCATGCACTCAGCTGCTTCTTCTCTTGTCGTTTTATCGCTCTATTTCAAAAATTCACTGTAATCCCCTTTCTTCCCCCTGCCACCGCTCTCTCTCTCTGTCGGATTCCACTTCAGGAATAAATAAATAAATTATCCATCTCGCTGGGGGTGGTGACGGTAAAAGAGAATCCCACAGTGGAAGTGAAAGAGAAATCAGGACACGCACAGACGCCAACATAGTCAAGAAGCAGGGGTTTATTCGTGAGGGCTGCGTGTGTTAAAGGGGACGTTAATTGACCGCAGGGCTAATTAGCCCTAAATGAGAAGCGACAAGCAGTTGCTGTACAGCAGGCAACACAAACCACCCGGGCCCCTCCATCCTCCTTCCCCTTTCATTACCAAAGATATTGAGCCAATACACTCAAGCTAGATGTAAATGCAAATACATCACTGAATTATACATTTCCAGCACAAAGAGCCGTAAATGACTCGCGTTCGACCCACATTTACGCTATTTAAAAAAAGGAGGCTATTAACTAAGGACAATATGGACTAGCCCAAGGTGTAGCACGGTAAATCCTTCAAGCAGAAGCCAAGACAGGTGTAGCTAAAGCTCGGTAATGTTAGCTAACCACACGGGATGCGTATTTCCCCCAGATTCCATACACACTTGCAATAACACACTCTAAGCTAATGAAGAACTAATTGGAGGAAGAACACATCCCCTTTAAGTACATTTAAAGCACACAGCAAGCAGAAAATACATTGTTTTGACCCCAAATTAACATAATTTAAAATGGTTTATTTGGTAAGAATAAGCAGCAAGGTGTACTAGCCCAAGGTGTAGCACGGTCATTTCTTCAAGACAGGTGTTCAGCTCGGTAATGTTAGCTAACCTCACAGGATACAGTGCGCCTTATTCCCAACAAAACCCCACTTAAAACCCACCGAGGACTCGACTTACCGTGGACGTTCATGCAGTGCTGGAGACATGTTAGCAGCAGAAGGACTCCCGGTGTATAAGTGACCATTTCTCGCAGTGTACCGTAACCGTTGCTAGCTGAGCGCTCGCGGGCTGCCTCGATCCTGCTTGCCTTTTCTTGCAACCTCGCGCTGGCCTGCTTCGTCTTTGATTCTGCCTGTCCACGCGCAAACTACACATACACACACGAGCGCTCCTACACAGTCACAGAGAGCAGAAAAGACGGCCGCTCGAGCAGACACCACCGACCGATAAGCAGCACGCGCTGCTCACAACTGAAGTAAACGGAGGCGTTCGAGGCGCACACCACGCGCCTTTTGATCTCGTCCTACAACCACGCGCCGCGGGGGCCGTTCGGGCTTCGGTTCACTCCCCTCAAGCTGAAATCCATTTCTTAAAGTGGACGGTAACGAGCGGCCCCGGTAACCGTTTCTGTTAGTGTTACTACACTGAGCAGGATTTTGATTCCCTCCTTCAGTATAGGCTGCGTCTTAGAACTATGTTAACCCTTCACTATCCGCATGAACTAATAACATATAGCCAATAAATATGTTATGTATAATAATAAAATGCATGGATGGATGTAGGTAGGCTAATAATAATAACAATCATAATAATAACAGCAACAAAACAAAAACAATAATAATACTGATAATAAGGACATCAATACTATGAATAATACTTGTATGAACAGTAGCCTAAATACATTATTCTTAGTTTTATTATTATTTACATAATATCATCATTTGCATGTATAAGTCTACATTTAAAAAGACAACAAATAAACAAAATACAATAATAATATGTAGTATGTTATTATAATGAATACTAATAATAATGTATAATAATTATATTTTGCAGATATATGTCTACACTCATTTGTTTTATGGTGATTGGCTCAAATTGAAAATCAATACACTTTAACAAAATAGCAGCAATACAGTGTACTTTAGTGTTATTGCATTCTTACACTCCATTAGAGACAGGAGTAGTTTTGTATTAATAGTACATCCAGTTATTTTCTGAAAAGTGATAAACTGCAGGTGTGATGAGGAAAGTGTAAACAGGTGTACTGTACAGGTGAGGGGGGGGGGGTCAGGTGCCTGGAGTGTTAGGGTTAGAGGACATCTAGTGGACGTTTCAAGGATGGCAGGTCAGTGGAGAGAGAAAACAGAAAGGTGTGTATCACAGAGAGATCTTTAAACATGTTCCAGAAAGGATCAGTGGCGACTTGTCATTAGGGGCAGGTACAGGCACAGCCCCACGTAGTGTCAGCAGAAAGTAATGAAAATAATAATTCCAAAAATATGCAAAAAATAGATATGTTAAAATATATTTTAAGAACATGTTTAGTCGTCTGATTCGTCTGTACATTGCTCTGTGTTCTTCCAATTAGAGTCCACAGTGTGCCTATTGAGCCGTGTTGAGCGAAGTGAGGCAAGCCCCTCTCTCTGCTGTCAAAGTGAATGCTGTAAAAACTGCACATGCTCAGAGTCTTTTTCTATTCAATGTGTGCGGCAAAAAAATTATCACCAGTGGGGCAAAGTGGCAACCCCACCAAAACGTCATCTCATAGTTCAGAGCTGATTGGCTGTAAGTACGTGTGCCACGAAAAGTGTTGTGAAGAGGAGACGAGAGAGAGCAGTGTGTAGCGATTAAAATCAGTAAAGCGGAAAGAAAATGAATGAAGTTGACCATCTACTTCAGCTTTGGTAATGTCTGTGTTTTCATTATACCCCCCCCCCCCCCCCCTCTCTATCGGAACCCATGGATAGACTACAGCTATTTGTTTTACGTGTTTAAAAAAGCACCAGAGCTAATACCATCTAGTTGTTTGTGCCCACACACTTTGAAATTATAAAACGCCACTGGAAAGGGATACTAACATTTCTCCATAAGGTATAATCTTTTGTTATCCAGCCTGGAAAAAAGGCATTAATTACCTGAAGCTCATCAGTCAGAAAGACTAACATTACTGATTGGAAGTGAAATGGCAACTAAAGAATGAACGTACCCAGCGGATTCAATCTCACCATATGTAAAGTTTTAGTTTTATTGTGGATCATTTAGGTAAAAGCGATGTTAAATCTTTCAAAGAGTGAATACCAACATCGTTCCACCAAATTCATCTTCTTACATCCACCCACCCCCACGTCTGTCTGATCAATATCTCCATAATTTTTGATCATCAGCAAGCCTTTTGCTGCTTCAGATCGCTGTTTGCTGCAGTTTTCAGAGGGCTCCTCCTCAGTTCTTATCAGAGGACTGAACATCATCTTCACTGAATGGCTGAGGCTGCTGATTGCACCCCCCAAGTGCTCTTCTGTCCAGATTTATTCAAAATCCATAAAAAAAGGTTCCAACACAATCCACTCATTCTGACTCTGTGTCTTCCCCGCAGTCAGCCTCAACAACGCACACACACACAGATGCAGATCTAATGGTTGGAATCCAGACTCTCATGGATACTACAACTGTGGCAAATATGGCTATCCAGCAGGAACTCGAACAGTGCAGACGACTTCAATAATTAAAATCATGGATTTCCAAACTAAAGAATGATTTCACGATTTGAAAGGACAGCCAAGTAGCGGTTTTTCTGTTTTTCGCATGGCAAAAATGATCATTTTGTTATAAAGGCGTGTTGTTACGTACCATTCATTCATCAGTGAAGAATAATAAATTATGAAAAATTGACCGGGGCCGAAAAAACAATAAGGGAGAAAGAATAAGACAAAAATAAAGGGATTACAAATGAACTACATGTAACCCTCTGGACGCTCAGGCCATTTGACAATGTCCACTGTAGTGGACATTTTTGTTTGAAGCATGCATCTCTTTTAGCTGCCTTTTGAGGTCATTCTATCAGTCTCTGCTGTTGTTGTACAGAGGAACTCCTGGTCTTTCAAAGATAATGTCATTGGTTAAAATCTGCATTGCTGGAAGTTCCTCTTTCTTTTCATCCCACATGGCTGCGCATACCAAACAAAATGTTATGGAAGCAGGAGGAGAATCAATATTATGTTGAATAAGTTGTAATTGTTACCATGAAAATCATCATGTCTTGTTTTTGTTGTGAGGATCTTAACTTGAGGAACTATATAATTAGTTCTGAAAGCCATTAAAGTAATTCAAGTTTTGAAAATAAGGCAGCTCTTTTATAAAATGTCCATCCTAGTAGGACGTCAGGACCATCTTCCATGGACTTATGACTCCAATATTGTTTCAGGAGACGGAAAGCTGAAGCAGAGCATTCCTGTACCAGATAGTTCAGGGAAGATTCCAGATTTGGAGCCTCTCCAGATGATGAGACGAGATGAGGATTTCACAAGCCTGGGATTAGAAGAGGGTCAAGAAGAAGGGAGAATGGCAGTGAGGGCTCCTTGAGCGCCACAGATACGCAGAACCGCCAGAAAAGCAGATAGGGGAGCGAGCGGCAAAAAAAAAGGGCATGTCGCGCTTCTGTGCGGCCCAAAGAGTACCGCATTATGTCTTATTGTGTGTTTTTATTTTAAAGTGGGAGCCCATGAAAAATGAAGAAAATCTCGCCTCCAGGAATGCAAGCTTCCTGTTCTAGAGCATGGTCAAGGAGACGACATCATACAACTAGTCAAGATGACCCTACCAGCCGTCAGCAGGGCTGGAGTCAATGAGGTACTTTTCCACTACATTGACTACAAAGTCTTTGAAGATCTGGAACGATTCACCAAAAAACTATTTTTTTAGTGACCAAATAAACAGCAATGTTCAGATCAATTACTTATTTATGTTTTAAATAAAGGTGAATATATTATTGTATTAATATCACCCATAATACGTTACATAGTCTATCTGTTCATTTTGGCTGTCTTTTCAAACTAAAATGGTCCTGACGTCCTCTACAGTGGACATACTGTAACATTTAAAAATCAAATTAAAAAAGTCTAAATAACAAGATCTTTTTTTAACCCTGAATAGGTAGGAAATAAAAAATAAAGAAGATTGGAAAACGTTTTTTTTCCTCGATTCCCAGATATATAATTTAAAGAAAAATTGAAAAATACATAAAAGAAAGATATAAGAAATTATGCTTTAATGTCAACGCAAATATATAAAGAAATATGGAAATAAACAAAAATACTTCTTATATTTTGTTATTTGTCTTTATATCTCCACATGTATTTTCTCATTCCTCTAGTTTGAAAAAAGAAATGAGTATATTAGACTTTCTGTTAAAAAAAAATACAAGTTGCTTTCTGATAGACATGTCACTTTGTATGACCTTGCACTGTGTATCTCCAGAGATGTCCAGACACCTGCTGACGCCAAACCGATTTACGACTTTGTTTGTTACCTCCTCACTTTGGACTATATGTTACTCCCTGCTTCTTTGAGCAGCATACCTCATGTGTGTGAGTTGAACCATATCCTTGTATGTGACTTAACTACCTAACTATTTTCCTAACACTTTCAGATGTGTTTTTCCACTTGACGCTTGACTTCAGGGTTAAACAATTAACGATAGAAGTATCCTGTTAGCACACTGAGATACCCATTTAAAAAAAATGTTTTCAAATAAAACCCCTCTGCACACCACTATGTAACCAGTCTGCGGCGCTGCAAACTGAGAGGTTGAATTTCAAAGGCTAATTTATGTGTGCGCTGTCAATGATCTCTAATTGAACATGGCAGACACATGTCACTGCATGGCGTCATCCTGCACAAAACCTAAAATGCACATTTACAGCACCAGATGGCTCCATTTAAGCCACATCCCCCCACATGCATGTTAAACACACTCCAAATTCAAAACTAGTTATAGTTCTTCTAGCCTGTAGTGCCATGTATCAATCTAGATAGTCTGGTGTGAGATGCCAAGTGTACATATTGAGATTTATGCCTTCTCTCCATAAAAATTGAACTTTATGGCACTGGGCTTTTCGTTCTCAAAGCAGCCGAAAAATGCATTTGAAAAACTCAACAGCAATGTGTCTTTACAGAAATCATGACCAGGTTACACCAGAAATCACAGAGCTTACAGAGACGATTTCAATGTAGGAACTATTTTCTTTCTGCTACCCACTAGTTGTACAGTATCACAATGCAAAAATAAATGTGCATGTTATCATGGGCGAGAGGCTTATACTTTATACAAGGACAATCCAGAATGAGCGGGGACAGGAAACGAGGAACTGCAACAGAACGAACCATATCGTGGAAAAATTAACAAAAAAGTGACAAAGAACACAATGGACGACAGGCCATATACAGTACACAAAAGAGTAATCGCACAAACAAGACACAGCTGGGGAGGGCTTTCAAAGGCACAAGGACAACACCAAAATCCTGACAAATACAGTTGAAAATATTGTGATCTTTTTTTCTGTAATATTTTGAAATCCAATGGAAAAATCACATTGTTTCTGTCGAGG